TCAGTTGGATGGTTTCTTTTATGGGTGAGGACTGAAGGCCCATGCCTTTGATTTGGGCCTGGATCTAGCTCTCCAGGTTCTTAGGTCATGAGGGGTCTATCAAAAAGAGTACTCTAAATTCTGAAAATCTGAGTGCAAACCGGATATAATAGATTGAAGGACAATCCGAAAAAGAAAGGTGAGCTGTTCTACCATGGTGCTTTTAGTATTTGTGGTGTACCTTTTGTGGTCCGAGGTTTTAGATGACCATTGTTGCCTTCTTGACATATGAAACTGTTGAAAACAAAGGGGGCACATCCTCGTTCTGCTAGGCCGCCTCAATATCTTGCTTTTCCAGCTGCCATATTGTCACGGGGTTAGTCGTTGGAATCCCGTGCGGCACTCGAATGCGATAAATAAGCTTAAGCAACAAGCAACAACACAAGAAAAGGCAATAAAGATAGCACACGAATTAGATAAAAGGCAAATTGTATTGCATTAATGGATGTCAAGCATAAGCACACAGTTCAGTGTCGAGGGGATCTCATGTTTAACCTTTACATGCTCATGACTCACTTGACTACCTATCTTCCCTCAAATAGTACGTTAAGCTTTTGGGGGAGTGACAATAGGAAAAATCAAAAGGATGAAAAATCATACTATGTAATTACAATAACGCCATTGGCAGTCTCCCCTTACAAAATACATGCAAGGCCCACCCATGACACACATGTTGACACCATGAAGGCACGCGGTTGGCATTCTGATGGCTCACGGTAGGTGCTTGATGGCGCGACGAAGGAGTCACCTGTGACAATATAGCAGCTTTAGAGATATAGTGAATAAACAATAAAGGCGTTAAAAAACATGAAATTAGAGTTTTGTGTAATTTTGTTTGGTTCTTCTAATCTATTAATGGTTCAATGACCATAACGGGATCTCCTAAAAGCAAAAGCCTTATACACACTACAAGCATGATCATCCAACCACACATTGGGAATTAGAATGGACTGTTATGATTGGTTTAGATGGGATTCCAATTCTACCCAACAAAGTAGTTGTAATTGGAATGGACTGATTCCAATTATAGACCTCTATTCATGTAAACCAAATTGATCCTAAACTACTAACCAATTTATAGTTCATGAAAAACCATTGTAAAAATTAAAAAGAAAAAGAATTAAGGTCCATTAGAATACATGTTGTGGACAAAATTTCATTAGAATACTCAAAAAATGTAATTTTTTTGTTTAAATTTTAAAATTTAAAGAATAGGTTCTTTATTTACCAAAAAATTTAAAGAATATGATGATGGTTAACAAAGAGTTCAGCTTCCATCAGGGAAAAGCTCATTAGAACAGCCTTTTCAGCCTTGTATTGAGAATATCTCCATACTTATGTGTTTTATTTTATGGAAATATGTTCTCAATCTAAGGTTGCAAATGACGGTTGGAACTATGTGGGCACAGGCTTGCCCTAAGGGAAGCCAATCTCTTAACAAAAATACCCTCTGGATAACACATTAGACCATTGGATTTTGAAGTGTTGGTATTATTTGTATTAACTAATTCATACTTGCTTACTACAAAGTATAAACCACATCAACCATCTGTCACCCACCTAAAAAACATCAAAATATAGAAATACTTAGCAACCAATTTTTCATCTACGCCTAAAACAAATTTCATAAATGTACAATTGGTCTGAAAATTTCAAAACTTAAAAGTAGGTTTTAAAGCTTAACATAATAGTTTAACCTAAAAAAAATTGGGTAAAGGGAAAATGTTAGTTGATGCATCCATTTTTTTAAATACCAATTTTACCCTTCTACCACTGACGCAAATGGACATTGATAAGTTCCATTCAATAGCCTACCACCATGACTGAAATAGAGCCTGTAAAGTGCTTGAATGATGGGTTTTTTCTTCTTTTGTATGCTTTGCAACTCCAATCATCCCATGGCAGGATGAATTAATTGCTTTTGTTTCATTTTTCTTTTGTTACAAGAAGTGTTTTTGTTTTTAATTCCTTTTATAAATATCTGTGTGATTTGACAGGAAAAAAAAAAAGATGAAAAATAAAATAGATACAAATCCTCTCTGTTTTGGGGCACGCCTGAGCCATTTATCAAGACCCAAGATTGGCACTCAACGATGTGGTTGCCTGAGAAGTTGAGAATATTTGACAGTGGCCAACTCCAAGTTGCTAGCATTACATGTTTTTTGACGTCGTTGTGTTGTCTAGTTGTATTCCCCCTTTCCCTCATAAATGCCAAGCATTCTTAGTAAAAGCTTGATTTCAAGCTCTAAAGTCTAAACTCTAGTTATTTTGTGCAGTCCACAAACTTCGTAATAGGGCTACCCGAAGGCACTTTAGTTAGTGTGAGTTTAGTGCAGAAATTTCAATTAATGTTGAGTTATCAAAATCATTGAAGTTAAAACCAAAGGTTATATGCAGAAATTAAACCTGCAATTAACTAATCTTACCTAAAGCTCATGGAGGATTAGGAGTCAGAGAAACAAAACTGGTTAATCTTATTTTCCTTAAAAAGCTTGTCTGGTGCTATCTTAATCAACAACGTAAATGGTGGGCTTAGATTTGGAAATCGAAATATCTACCTTTGAATGAAAACTTTCCTTGGTTTATCCCCCAAACCAGTTCTTATTTTTGGAAATCCACTGCTCCCAAAATCCAAACCCTGTTCCATGAGGTGGGTTTCCTTGTCTCAATAAACTCCCCAAATTCAATTTGCCATGTACCTTAATCCAAAACAATAACTCCTTTCAAAGGATCCATCGTCCTATTAATGCAAATATACTAAATTATACTTTTACTGATCTTATACAGAATGGTGACCGGAATGCACCCTTAATCCAAACTTTGTTTGGTGCTATCCAAACCTCAGACATACTTCAAACTCCTATCCTTCCTGCAAGCACTCCCATTTCCCGGATTTGGACTAATCATTTCTCAGGGAAATTTTTAACTTCAGTTGCTTACAATGATTTACTCTAGGATTATTTGCCTCATTTGAATGATCATGTGAAATCCTGTATTAAATGGATCCGGCGCCTTTCATGCCCCCCTCATTATCAACTTTTGTTATGGCGTATCATAAATAATTATCTCCTTATAAAGGATAAAATACTTAGTCGAAATCAAAATCAAACTTGTGTTTTTTGTCAAACCAATCCAGAATCCATCAATCACTTATTCCTTGAATGTTCCTTTTCTTAATCTATGCTTTTTGCTTATCCCTATAACATTATTTTAGACACTTCTTCTTATCCTAACTGGATTGAATGCATAATTGATCTTGAACAATAAATTCCAAACAAGTCTGATTTTCGAAAATTTCTTAATTGGTATGCCATTGCTTTATACTATATATGGTTTGCCAGGAATGGAAAAAAGTTTTCAAGGATTCTAATATCTCAAATATGTGGATTATTCGAAAAGTTAATACTATTTTTAATCGAATATTGGATACTTCAACAGATTATTCTCCAAATCCAAGCTTTCATCCACAGTTAAGCCTACACGTTAATCCTAATACTAATTGTATCATCTTTACATATGTAGGAAAAATTACTCCATCTTATTTTTTCTTTTGGAGTTATTATTTTAAACACTCAATTGGAATGTTTACAAATTGTAGGAGGAAGAAAATTTTTGAGATCGATAGAAGAAGCTGAACTTTTTGCAATCTTTCAAGGAATATCTCATGCTCGCTCGCCAACTGGAGAAATCCAATATGTTAATTTGCTCAGATTCTCAAATGGTTGTTAATGCACTTCAGCATCGGTTTTCCTTACATTGGCCAACCCTGGGACTTCTAATATTCACTACCAACCTTTTTTCTTTTTTTAACTCTCTCAAATTTTTAGCATATAATGTTCCTGCTCATGAACTAGAAAAATGGAGAAAACACATTTTGTTATCTCATTACCCTTCTTCTATTCCCCCTGCACAAAACTATGTATTCTGTTATTCTGAGTAATATATTATGTTTATCCTTAAAAAAAATAAAAAAATAAAAAACTAATGTTAAGGGAGTTTTTTGTTGAGTTTCTCAAAAGTTTAAGAGAGGTATTTGTTACAATAAAACTATATGGGAGGTTTTTGTGTTTTACCCAAAAAGATTTCATGAAAGCACGTGTAAAATCATAATCTAAAAAGTAATGATTCAATTTATCATGGACTGAGCAGTAGATGGATTTCCAAATTCCAATGTAGAACACGAGAACCGTAGAGCTTGATGATGATGAAGAAGAAGAAGTTGGTATGATCGATGGGTTTCCAAATAAACAGAGCAATCTTCAATCTTTTCCGGCACAAAGGTTTGGTCTCATGTTCTCACTTTTTTAGTCAATTCTATGGTTGAATCTCCAACAAACAGAGCATGAAGAAGAGGACCAGAGATATCTTAACTGGCCGTTCATGAAGAACAAATGTTTGTTCTCTTTTATAAAAAATATGTTTTTGTTCTCAAAAATTATGATTTCTCGCTTGGATTGTAGTTCCACAAAAAATGCATTTCTTAATTCCATTGATTTTCCATTTCTTAATTCCATTTTGTCGGCTTCCGTAACGACAACATCTCCGTACTCATGTAATTTATTTGATGCCCGATGAGGTTGCAAGAGGCTGTTGGGGCAGTGTTAGCACGGGCTTGTCCTGACCGAAGCCGATCTCGCCAAACACCCATTTAAACTCTTTCACTTTAACCAGGTGATCTCCAGTTTTTACATTGCTTATCCCTTTTTTAATGTGTTTTGGGATATTTCAGCAAACCATTAGAGGGCCAATTTAGTCATTTTAAATATATGTTCAGTGGTCACTGTTACACTGTCCAACGGATAACAAAGGAATTCTAAATTCGGCTTGTTTAGCTTATTAAACAAGAAAAGCCCAAAGCAAGTGGTGTGTCATTATGACTTTATGGAAGGTTATTTTGGTAAATTAAGTACACTGACATATGAAGTCTCGATGGCGGGAACTAGAAACATAGTCTAGAAAGAGGAGAGGAGAGAGCGAGCGAGAGAGAGAGAGAGAGGGGGAAGTAGGATTTCATTTTTCGTTGCAACCTCTGGTTTGATTCATCTATCTTTATAACACATTGATCAATATGGAAAGAATATTCGTTTCAGTGAGGGCGAGGCCTCTTTCTCCCGATGATGCAAAAACGAGTCCCTGGAGGATCTCCGGAAATTCAATCTCAATCGCAAACCAGCCTACAAAATTCGAATTCGGTGCCCATTCTATCTTATTTCTTCGTTTTTTGTTTTTTTTTTCCCTTCGAAATCTCAAATGTCCATTTTTCCCCACTTTAAGTACCATTTGTCTTTGTAATGTCTCAACAGATCGTATTTTCGGAGAAGACAGTAAAACTGTTGAAGTCTACGAAGCTCGTACCAAAGAGATCGTTGCTGCGGCTCTTCGTGGGTTCAACGGTAGGGTGAAGACCAAATTATTAGCCTTCTTGTTTTATATGTTGCATAATTCTCTCTCTCTCTCTCTCTAATCATATGACATAATTTGGTAATGAAACTGATGGGAGATGATGATTAGTGTGTTAATTGATCAGATTCATCGATGCCATCTTCATAGTATAGGCAAAACTATGATGCTTGAGTTTTATATTGTGAAGTGAAGGTGAAGTGCTGTTTATTAAGTGTAAGCTGCTGAAAAAGGTGGATAAGGATAATTTGTGGAGAGAGGGAAGAATGTTCATGAGAAATAATTTTGCGTCGTTAGTTTCTCCTTTTATTGGCTGTTTGTAGCATTTTATATTAGGTGGTAAGCGGGTGAAGTTGTATATACTTTTTTTTTGATCAATGAAGTTGTATATACTTAGTTTAAGACTATGACGTTACATGTTTGACAATATTATGAGATGTCCTCTATGCATCACTACATCCATAATTAGGTGTTGTATGGATGGTTTCAATATTGAATACAAATACATAAGCACACAAAAAAATGGTCCAAAGAATTGAAGTTTATATGATCAATCTAAATGCCATTCTCGTTCTTTTAATGGTAAATATGATTTTCAGGATCAGTCTGCCAAACACATAAATATAATTATGAGGATCAGAATCATGTATAATTGATTGTAAAAGGAATCATTCTTAGAATCATTTCTCCTCTGGATGGATGCCGAACACAGTCTATGATGCCATTTGAAATGAAATTATTCCCTTCTACTTTTTTAGCATTTACATTGAGTATTTCTTCTGTTAACATTGAGTATTTTTTTGATAGAAGACCATATGGGTCCTTTTGGTCATACAAATTAGTATTCTTGCTTCATTTAACGTCTCTTCTGTAGACATAAAGCAACCAGCCATGTTTTTTTTTGGTTGAGAAAAAATAACATTTCATTGCAATGCAAAAGGGGATCAGAGGGGAATGTTTTATGTACTATCATGAAGCATTTAATACTTGTTTATTTATTTTTTTAAATTAATGTCTTAGTTTGGTGGTTTTGTGTTTCAGCCTTAAATAGTTAAAAATATCCATTTAGAAAGACCATTCTAATAAAGTGGGTCCATGTTGAGGCCTTTTTATAACCCAAGTTTTTGGTTTATATAGTAAACACAAGTTTTTTACTTTATAAGTAAAGATATTTGTGATAAACAGACATACACACCCTACATTTCAATTAAGGGGCATTAAGGCTGCAAGTTGGGCTGGGTTTAGCTTGAACCCAGCTTTACCATTACTATTGTACATATGTATTATAGTTCCATTGCATACTTTCATAGTAGACTCTAATCATTTGAAACATTAGTTTTTTTTTTTCACGTTTGTACTAAAAGAACCAATAAAAACACTAAACAAGCAAATACCAATAAAAGTACAGCTAGTATATGGTCAAACAAATTAAGCTTGGGTCTCTTAATCAAATATTAAGAGAATCTGAGAGATTTTAAGAGGATGGAAGGTCTGGTTTGGTTGGGTTAGGGTTTACTAGATTGGTTTGAAGCTTGGGTTGGGGGTTTAAAACCTTGGGTTGGGCTAGGGTTGACCTTGACCCGACCTAACCTGGCCTGACTTGCACCCCCAAGGGGCATGACCCTATTTAATAGAAAAAAAGATTCTGTATGAAGACAATGTTCAGGTTATATAATCTATAAATTGAAGACAACTTCTGCATATTACAAACTTTAAAAGGTTAAAATTGAGAATATAGGTATACCTCATAGATTTCTTGAGACAACCAAAGAAAAGAGGAAGGTTGATGTGGAAAGCAGCAAGGGCTGCCTTCATGTAGACTGTTTGGGAAGAAAGAAATGGAAAGATATTCAATGAAAAGAGTAGGACAGAATTGGAAATCCTGGAAACAGTGAAAATAAAAGTAGCACATTGGGTAAAGTCCATGGAGGTTTTCCAAAAACTTCTCACTTAATGATATACTAAGAAAGTGGAAGGAAGTGGCACTGTCAGTTCAAAATAAGGAATGAACAATAATTGAGTGGAGACAACCTGCAACTAACTTTGTAAAACTTAACTTTGATGGCAGTTACATAGGCAATCAGGCAACAGTTGGGATGGGAGGGGTTGGCCTTATATTCAGGACATGTGGCTAATGGTGATGCATTGACAACAAAGTTGTTTGGTCTACTCCAGGGATTAAAATTTGCTAAGAAATTTGGGTTTCACAACTTGGAGGTGGAAGGGGATTCACAAGTGGTTATCTTGTGGACAAGAAGTAGTGCCCAAATCCCATGGATTTACAGGCACAAAATCCAGGAAATAAAATTTTAACAAGTGAGATGAATGTTTCTTTTAGATGGGTGAGAAGAACAGCAAATGAGATGGTGGATGCATTGGCTAAACAAAGGACTGCTAGACAACAAATATTTTGGGCAAAACTCTAATGTTTGTTTCTTGGTGGAAAAATTTCTACCTTGATGTAATACCTTAAATTTGAAGTTAATAAAATTTTTCCTTATTGATAAAAAATTGAGAATATAGGTAAAGAAACTTTTGGTCAATACTCAACATTAAGACCTTTTAGGTTGAGATCCTATTCATTACTTTGTTCTGAATCTTGAAGAAATGCTTCCACCTCTGTTGGCAGAGAGAGTATAGGAGAGAGATACTAATATGGTCCATCCAGCCCTAGTTTGCATTAAGCAGTATTGCTTGGATACAGATGTGTAGATAGACTTTGATGGGTGTCCAAGGGTTTGACTCAGCAAGCTAAGAAGAAATGGATTCTAGGATGCATACAATATAGTTGAAAATTACACCTAATTCAGATAATGCAAGAAAAGAAGAAAAGAGAGAAAGAGAGAAGAAGAAAGGAAGTTTGAGCAATTGGTTATGGAAGAAGAAAAGAAGGGAAGAAAGAAAAGAAGAATTAGAATCTCTCTCTCTAGCCCCCTTTCATCACTTTTATTAATAATTCTAAGTCTGAGACTCTGAGTACAATTACTCGGATGCCCTTAATGGGGTGACCATCACTAAAGAGATATAAAAGAAGGCCCATAAGGCTCATAACTAAGAAACATAACTTTTAAACACTACTTAAAAGAAATAAAGAACACTAGGGCCCATTCGACCCAGTCTCACTACAAATATATTTCATTATTTGTCTTTTTGTAATTATGGAGGTTGGTGATTTTGAAACTAAAGCACTTTTGTAACAATTTTTTCTTCTATTATTGTTTGATATACTCTAATTAGTATTTTTATCTTTTTTTTTTTGCGTGTAATGGCTTAGTAGTACATAGGAGTTGAATATTCAAAAACTAATTGTTGAAGGAGACTCGAAACTGGTTATAGGATAGCTGCTAAAGGAGAAGTAATAACCTTTGGAAATTTGCTAATGAAAAAAGGGAGTTTGAATGGGCAACTCGGGGAATAGAGATTCAGATTCAATGGGTGAAGAGAACTGCTAATTCCTTTGCAGATGCTCTGGCCAAACAAGGGGTGGGAAGGGAACAATTCTTTTGGGCAGTGTTGTAATTGTTTTCTGTTTTTCTTGGGGAGGGTTAGGAGATTTTAGCTCTTTCCCTTACTTCCTCCACTGTAATTTCTTTTCCTTTAATTAATAAAAAGTTGCTGTTAATGATAAAACATGGTTTAATAGTACACATTTTGTTTGAAAAAGAAATTATCTTTGTTTACCACATTTCTATTGTTAATTCATTCATTTGTGTGTAATTTTTAAATTGGTACAGGCACTGTTTTTGCATATGGACAAACAAATAGTGGAAAAACACATACTATGCGAGGGACAGCTGCTGAACCAGGGGTTATACCTCTTGCAGTGCATGATTTGTTTCGAATTATACAAGAGGTAGCTGCTTACTATCAACAATAAGGGCTGATAGCCCATGAAAATAGTTAAAAAGAAAAAATGCTGACCAATAAAGTTGCATTAGTTTCCTTGTTTTTGTGTCCAAATTATGATAGAAAGAAATGTATAAATTATGATTATTTTCTTTCTAGAAGAGAGAGAGGAGAGAGAGGAGAGAGAGGAGAGGAGAGAAGAGAGATATGAAGAGAAGAGAAGAGGAAAAAGTGTTTGAGAGTCAAAAACTGAAGCTGGCGGCTCCCTGCTTCCTCTTTGTATTAACATGATGTAAAATAAAAAATGAAATTACAAGCATGCCCCTGGTGGCCCACCCTAATAATAAGAACTTAAACAAAGAAAAGAACATGCTGACAGCATCCTAGACTGACGGCACCCTAACAGCAGAAATAAAATAATTAATTCTAACAACAATGATATTGGGCCTACCATTAGGTTTGCACATGATATGTAGCAGAGCAATATTTTGAGAAGAGCTTTGGTGGAAGGAAAAGATTATTAAAATATTCTGCATATCTCCTTGTCTGTTCTCATGGGAGGTATCTTCTGTTGTAAAATTGTTATTGTGGGGTTTTTTGTGGAAAAGAAGATAATTATCTTGCTTCTTGATCTGTAGGATATGGATCGAGAATTTCTTCTACGCATGTCCTACATGGAGATCTATAATGAAGAAATAAATGACTTATTAGCTCCTGAGCATCGGAAATTGCAGGTTCATGAGAGTCTTGAGGTAGCATCTCCCCTCCAAAGCCCAATTAATTTATCATAGTAAGCTTGGATGACTACTGAATGATTATTTGCTCAATTTTCCCTTCTGTTGGTAGAGAGGGATATTTGTTGCTGGTTTGAGAGAAGAGATTGTTGCATCCCCAGAGCAAGTCCTTGATTTCATGGAATTTGGAGAATGTAAATCTCCCCCCTTCTATCATTTATTCTATTTCTCATTCATTTACACACAGACACATTCATGCACTCCCTTTGTTGTTAGTTTGTTTCAGGTAATTTACAATATCATGTTCTTAATGAATTATTTTCAATTGTGAAGCTCATCGTCACATTGGGGAGACAAATATGAATGTTTATAGCAGTAGGTCACATACAATTTTCCGAATGGTAAGAAATTATTCCTTAATCCTTATCTCTTTGGCCACACGAATTATTATGGGAAACATGTAGCCCTACAACCCACCTGTATTTGCAGATAATTGAAAGTCGTGATAAATCTGAAGATGGAGATATTGGAAGTTCCTGTGATGCTGTCCGTGTATCTGTTCTGGTGTGTGATAATTGTACAGTTTGCTTTATTCATTTCCCCTTCCATTGCACTTGTTAATGACCACTCTCATTATTACTATATTATTTATTTTTTACACTGCTTGAATTCCCCTTTAGAATTTGGTGGACCTGGCTGGTTCAGAACGTGCTGCAAAGACTGGTGCAGAAGGTGTGCGTCTGAAAGAGGGTTCACACATCAATAAAAGCTTGATGACACTTGGAACTGTAATAAAGAAACTGAGTGAAGGTGCTGAGAGCCAAGGGTGAGTTCTATCATTTGTCAAGTACATATTTTTAGTTGGCTTCTTAGTATTCCTTACACCATTTACCATTTGAATCAGGGGTCATGTTCCCTATCGGGATAGCAAACTCACACGCATTTTGCAACCAGCATTGGGTGGGAATGCAAATACTGCTATAATATGCAATATTACTTTTGCACAGGTAGTATTATGTAACTTGAATTATTTGAATGTTGTACTGAATAAACATGCAAATAATAACTGAAATTTCTACTGGTCCAGTAATGTAGTAATTCACTAGATTACTTTCTTTGTATAATTTTGATCCAGAACCATTGGAGTTTCTTTTGTTATTAAGAAATGAATTTGATGACAATTACCAAATCAATAGTACCTAGAAACTAATTGTCATTCAGAAAATTGACAGCCCTGATACACCTGTCTCTGGAAGCAAATAATCATTTGCCCCAGAAATCATGTTGCTATTTTGTTTTAACAGGCTCTTTCAAAATTGGTACCTATAGTTCGACTTTTTAAATGAATATTTTCTCAAATAATTATTTTTTAACACTTTTCTCCAAGAAATAATTCTCTAATTTCAAGATGCACTTTTCTGCTAATTTCTTGATATTCTTACCACATTATATAAAGAAAAGTTATGTCAATTTAATACTAGCTTATTCTGGAAGTTGGTAATGTAGTTCACCAACTTTAAAAGGATTTGTTTTCATCTATGATGCAGGATCTTTGTGATTCAGCACTATTCTTGCAATTAAACTTAGGCTTAGATGTGCAGTAGAGAAACAAATAGCTAATAAAAGAAAGAAGAGAAGAGAAGAGATGAAAACCCTAAGAAATCACACCTAAGGGTGAGGGCAATCACACCAAATTCTCTGGAGAAGCTTTCTTTGTTCATTAACCCAAACCATTCTCCAAAAGAGCCTTACAAGCTTAATAAGAAAGAAGCTTCCGAAGGAAGAAACTTGCTCCCCAAGTTAGCTTGTCCCACAAACCGCTTACATAAAGAAGCTAAATTAGACTAAACCTGCCCCCAAACAACTGTAAACATAAAACCAAAGGGAAATTATTAGGCTGAGACCTATTGGGAGTTATAGGGGTATATTTGTAATGTTGATAAAATTTGGGGACTTGTATGTTTTTATGGGAGGAAGAGGGGCTATATGAAATGCTAATAGAATTAGGTCTTTTGCTTATTTAAGCCATTGATTGTGCCGTGTGGGATCAGGGTTGAGTGAGAGCAGATATTTTGTTGTGAGTTTGTACAGAGGTTGGCCATGTATCTCTTGTTCTCATAGTGGATATTTTTCCCTCTCTTCTCATGGGTGTAGGCTACCGAGCCGAACCACATTAAATCTTGGTGTTTTCTCTATTTCTTCTTCTTATTTTCTTCTTGAGTTGTTACTCTATTTTATGTTAGTTGACATGGTATCAGAGCAGGTTTAGTGTGGGAATTAGTTCGGTGAACTAAGGAAGACTAGAAATCGAGTTATTGTTCACGGTTACCATTCATGTTACTGTTCTTTCTCGTTTGATGACATTTGGAGGATCTGGGCTGCAATTGCACACTTCGGTTAGGAAGACCAGGGCTGCAACAGTTTGGTTAACTCTGGAAGGGGTTATTAAACTAAATTTTGATGGAAGCAGTCAGGGTAACCTAGGACCATCTAAGCATAGGAGGAGTTCTGAGGAATGAGAATGGCAATATTATATCCTTATTCTCAGGCATGGTGGGAATAGGGGATTCCACAAGAGCTGAGTTGTTGGCTGCAGTATAAAGAATTCACAATGCTAATCAACTAGGAGTGGAGAACCTATTAATTAAAGGGGATTCTAAGGTGATTGTGGGCTGGTTGTCAAATCCAGACTCATTGTTTGGAGTTATAGGGATCACATAAAAAAAGTTAAATGTTTAATAAGGCACATTTCGTGTAGATACCAGTGGGTGGGTTGGGAGGCAAATGCTTTGGCTGATTATCTTGCAAAACAAGGGTCTGCTAGGGGTCGGTTATTTTGGGCAGCTGTGTAATCTTTTCTTTAACTACTTGTAATGTTTAGGCGAGACTGCACCTCGTGCCTCCCATAGGGATGCTTGTAAAGTGTTATTCTGCTTGATTAATGAAATCAATTTCAACTATCAAAAAACAATCTATTCACGTTACTGTTCACGCGAGGTCTGTGGTGCTTGAATCTATGAAGCAATTTGTTAGGGACTTTTACCATTCAATGAAGAATATTTGTGAGTATTTTCATCAATTTTCTAGAATTTTACTAGACCCCAAAAGGGGTGCTATTGCTTCTCGTTGCTTCTTTCAGAAACCAGGAAAAAGTAACGTGAGATTTGGATTCTCTTTTGGTTGTCTCATACCTGGTGGAATCTAGACTTGAGCTTTCAGAGTTCAGGTCGTTTTTATATGAAAAAGAAGATCAAAGGGTCATTTGGGCAAGGAAATCTGATCTGGTTGGTATATTAGGGCATCTTCTAGTCCTTATTTTTAATGCTATTAAAGCTTTTTTGGATTTTTCTCTTTTGTTGGTTCTTTAGAAGGATTCCCTCTTTGGAAGGATTTATATTTTCCCTCCTTGTCTTGTGGGTTACGCCCCCTAGCATCTGAACTAGTTCATATCTTTAAGCAAATTCTGGTTTCTATGTTGCATTATCGAGTGTTTGATTTATTGCTAAAAGGTTGGTTGTTGGTCATTTAGCTAAGTTTGGTGTTTCTTTGGGAGTTCTAATTTTTTGAAGAAGTATTATAGAAGCTCTACAGCTTCTTTGGTCTATTTGTGATTATCAATATCAACATGTGATACTGGAGCTCAAGGTGACTATTTGGTGTTCGAGAAAATGTCTCTATGGTGCAAAATTTCTACAATGGTTCTCCATTGTTATGATTGGTTCTGATCTGATCTTGTTTGTGGCTTGGTTTGATATTTAGACTATTTTGGTGAATGATGGATCTATTATCATGATCGATATTTGGTTTGCTTACCTCATACAGGGCTAGGGGATGAGAAGGAGGAAGGAAGCCAAGTGGATGGGAGTAGTTTAGTTTTGTCTCAACAAGCTGATAAAAAAAAGGAGGGGGGATAAAGTGGAGGTTAGGAGTTTGGTGGACAGGGAAGTTAGAATTGGCAAGAGTTTAGGGCTTTTCTTTTGGGGAGGTGAAGAGTTTGCTAGAAGAGCTTTTGAAGTATTTGAAATGGGGAAAAAGGAAGAGAAAGAGCAGAAGAAGCTCAGACAGAAACAAGATTTAATTTGGGATGAGGATGGTGACGGATGTGACGAGGTGTTTGAACTTGAAGACTAGACAAATATGTGTAAAGGGGGGTCCCCTGTTTTCTTTTGTTAGTTTTTGTGTCTTGTAATCTCTTGTTGCGGTATTTGGTTTGGGTATAATCTTCACACCCAGGCCGATTTGTATCTTGTTTTCTATTTTCTATCTATAAAATTTTTCATTTTACTCTTCAAAGAAAAGTTTCAGCAATGATCCTTTATTATGCTCATAAGTTCTTAGTTATCGTTGAAGAAACCCTTGGAGTTTTGATCTCCTTCAGTGACATGGGATTTTGATTCACTTTATCTAGTTGGCTTTCCAATTACCAACTCCGATTCCTCAACTGGCTTATGGAGTTCATAGTTGGATTTCCGTTGCTCAACTCTGAATCTTTGCTATGTTTATGGAGTTCAGCATAGTTGGCTTTCTGTTAGTCAACTTTGTTTTGGTATTTTTGTTGGCATTTCTGATGATCTAGTTGTTTGACGTGGTTGGTTTTTTATTTCGGTGATTGTGATTGGCCTTTTGATGGCTAAATTTGATTGTTTGGCATGATATGTGTTGGCTTAGTGTTGGCCAACTTCAGTTTGGTTATTAAGATCATGACTTGGCTTTACTCTAGTTTTCCAACATGAGTTCATTTAGCTTTTTAACATCCAACTTTGGTTTCTAAGAGGCCCCTTCAACATCTCAAGTTTTATGGTTGCTACTTCAACTATACACCTATTTTCATGGAGGGTGCTTCAACATCCTTACTTGCAAATTCATGCTGGTTTCCCCACCTTAAGTTTGAGGAAGGGTGTAGAGAGATATATTGTATTTGGTCGTATTCGGGTTTTCTTTCAGGGAGGGTGTTGGAGGTTATAGGGGTATATTTGTAATGTTGATAAATTTTGGGGACTTGTATGTTTTTATGGGAGGAAGAGGGACTTGTGTGAAATTCTAATATAAAAATTAGGTCTTTTGCTTATTTAAGGCATTAGTTATGTGGGATTAGGGTTGAGTGAGAGTGGATATTTTGTTGTGAGTTTGTAGAGAGGTCAACCATGTATCTCTTATTCTCATAGTGGATATTTTCCCTCTCTTCCCGTGGATTAGGCCACTGAGCTGAACCACATTAAATCTTGGTGTTTTCTTTATTTGTTCATATTTTTTTTTGATTAGTAAACATGTATTTTATTAAAATTCAGATTGTAAATAGTTTATACAACTTGGTGATGGGACTATTGATTCCCCTTAATCACTTTATTCTATCCTTCATTACAGTGCAGCCCAGAATAATTGCTGTCTCAATGCCCCATGTTTTGCTAAATCGTCAACTAGCCCATTTGCACTTCTTTGGACCCATTTAAATTCAACCTCAACCTTCTTTGCAATCTTCTCCACTTCCCTAATCACATGTTTAAACGCCCATGGGGTATGGCTGTTGTTTGCTGCCCATGAAATTACTACTTTTGAATCCCCTTCCACTTCAACATGTCTGTATCCTAGCTGTTTGGCTAGCTTTACCCCTTGTAGTAATGCCAATAGTTCAGCCTTTAGTGAGTTTCCGGTGCCAATCGGTCCTGAGAACATAACCAATATCCTCCTTTCAGAATTTCTTAATACTCCTATTCCTGAGATGCCCGGATTTCCAAGGGAGCTCCTGTCAAAATTCAGTTTTACTTTATTGCCTTCTGGTGGCTTCCTCTCCAGCCTTACTTTATCTCTTACTCTTGAAGAGTGTGCTACTTTGGGCCATGTTCTTAGAATGTCTGTGAATGAGAAGACTTGAAAGCTATCCAAGGGTTTTACCCAATGGGCTACTTTCACCTTGATACTATCAATCACTTACTCTATTGTTCTACTTTTTTCCAAGAAAATTTTGTTGTTCCTCTCTTCCCATATTACCCAGCAAATTGCTGCCTTTGTTGCTTTCAACATTACTATCCCTCTTTTCTTTTGCTGTCTCAAGAATTCATGGTTGAAGAGTCTTGCCACATTTTGAGGGGGAACCCACCTGTAGCCAAAGAGAGTACAAAAGAATTTCCAAATTCAAGTCACAAAAGAACAGGATATCATTAAATGAGAAAGGGTCTCACCACTTTCCTTACACAATGAGCACACATGAGGAGAAAGGCAAATGCATGGCCTTCTTTTCTGCAGCATATCACAAGTGTTTTTACCTTACCAAGGAATATTTCCTAGTAGAAGGCTTGGATCTTTGGGGGAATAGGTTTGCACCAAATTTCTTTCACAAGGAAATCCTCACCTAGGAGGTTAGGGGAAGCAAGTACTTTGAAGAAAAAGGAGCAAGAAAGGATGCCGTTTGGAGAGCCTACCCAAATTCTAGAGTCTTCTAGCGAAGGGTCCAAGTGGATTTGCCCTAGGAGGTCCAGCAATCGGATTAAAGACTCACACTCACTTTCCCTTGGTCTCCTTCTAAAGCCCAAATTCTAGTTCACATCGTTTGGACATGATGTTCCCAACATGGATATAGCTTCCCCCTTGAGGTTAGATAGTGCAAAGTGATCAGGAAATTGGTCTTTAAGTGGGGTTTCCCCTACCCATAGAGCTTCCCAAAACAGAATTTTATTACCTTGTCCCACATTGAACCGGATGGAATTGAGGAAAGTAGGGTAGATTTCATGAATTGCTTTCCAAGGAGAAGTTGAAGAACTGTGAGGGGAAACTTTTGCATCCCAGCCATTTCCATCCACCCCTTGAGTTCTCTCAATCACTTTGTGCCATAGTCTATTGCCCTCAAAGGGAAACCTCCAAAGCCACTTACCTAGTAGAGCTGTGTTCTTTAAAAGGATGTTCCTAATTCCTAAACCCCCTTGTTCCTTAGGTTTGCTAACTTGTTCTCACTTAATCAAATGGTCCTTCCTTTCCTCTCCTGGGTTCCAAAGGAAATCTCTTGTATACTTCTCTAAGCACCTTGCTACCCTAGAAGGGATTCTAAAGGTTGAAAGGAAATAGGTGGGGAGGTTTGCCAAAGTGGCTCTAATCAAGGTTATTTTTCCACCCAAAGAAATATAATTCCTCTTCCAAAGGGCTAACTTCCTATCAAACCTTTCTAAAACTGGTTTCCAGAACCCAATTGACCTGGGATTTCCTCCTAAGGATAGACCTAAGTAACTGATAGACCAGCTTCTGATCTCGCACCCCAAAATCTCCATGAAATGTGGCATTTGCTCTGCCCTGTCACTCCCACAAAATTTATCCTCAGCCCTGTCACTCCCACAAAATTATTCAGCAGCACCCTCAAATTTTCCACCACTTCCTCATTGTTTCCTTCACAAAGAAAGATAGTGTCATATGCAAATTGGAGATGGGTAACAAATTCCCGATTTATACCTACCCTCCAACCTCTAATAAGGCCTTGAGCATCAACTTTTGCCACCATTCTACTTAACACTTTTGCCACTAGGGTAAACAAGAATGGGGATAGGGGCACCTTGCCTAATTCCTCTCCTGTCCGGGAAGAAGTCCTTTGGTGTACCATTGATTAGGATTGAGTAATGAGCTGAACTTAAACATCCTTTAATTCAAGACCTCCATCTAGCTCCAAATCCCAGTCTTTCTAATATTTTTAGAAGGACTTCCCAATTAACCGCATCATAGGCTTTTTCTAGATCTACTTTACAAACCTGCCCCTTTTCTCTACCCTTTCTTCTTTCCACAACGCATTCCATTAGCCACCAAGATTTGATCCACAATCTGCCTTCCTTCTACAACAGCACCTTGGAAAGGAGAGATGATCAAGGGTAACACCTTTTTCAGTCCTTCTGATAAGACCTTTGACAGAATTTTATAAACACTCCCAATGAGGCTTATTGGTCTAAAGTCTTTAGGAGTTTTGGCCTCCCTCTTCTTTGGAATCAAAGTGATAAATGTGGCATTTGCTCCTGGTGAAACCTCCCCTTTGGAGAAGAATTTGTTAAGCCATTTGATAGAAGGCCATGGAGAAACCATCTGGCGCAGGGGCTTTTGATCAGTCCATTGAAAAGATAGCTTCCTTGACTTCTTGCAAAGAAAATCTCCTTTCTAAAGCAAGAGATTGCTCTTCTGACAGAACATCCCCTTCCAACTCTGGCAATTCTGGCAACACTCCTTGTGGGCTTGAGAAAATTTCCTTAAAATGATTTACGAAAGAAATCCTTGTAATCCCCTGCATTTCTCTTACCACTTGTCCCTCCTCCACACTAAGGATTAAGTTCTTCTTTCTCCTTCCAATTGCAAGCGAATGAAAAAACTTAGTGTTTCCATCCCCCTCTACAAGCCACTGACACCTTGATTTCTGTCTCCAACAAATTTCCTCCTTCCGTAATATCTCTTCCAGTTTTTGCTTTTGATTCCATCTTTCCCCTCTTTCTTCTTTTGGAATAATTCTGAGAGCCTCTTTCCTATCTAGCTCCTCAATCCTCCCCACCAAGTTATCTTTTATTTCTTCTAACCTTCCAAAATGGGCTTTATTCCAATATTTTATTTTTTCTTTTAGCCTCTTTAGTTTCCTGGAGAAACCTATCATTTTCAACCTCCCCAAAGGTCTGAGTGCCTCCTCCCACCACTTCTTTAGCCTAATCTTAAATGTAGGGTCTTCAAACCCCATATTCTCAAATCTGAAAGGAGAAGGGCCTTCCCCTGGGATTTCTTTCTCAATACAAATAGGGCAATGGTCTGAAGTAACTCTAGGTACCCTCTTGCTATTAAGGATCCCCACATTTCTTCCCACTTAGGAGTTATGAGGAATCTGTCCAGTTTAGAGCAGGTTGGGGGGGACTGAAAGTTTGGCCAAGAGCTCTTCTTCTTATTTTCTTCTTGATTTGTTACTTTATTTTATGTTAGTTGACAAGAGCTGTCCCCAAACATAACCCCTACAAATGCAAAATTACAGAAATACTCATGCCGTCTAGAAATGTAAGAAAGCCAAATAAGTCCTGTTTAGTAGCAAACTCAACTACACAAAGAGAATCTTAAAGTAGATTGAAGATTCTAGGATCTTCCCAAGTTGATCCACTACTTACCCAGGCCCCACGTCATCGTAATGATGCCAAATAAGCATGGGAACAGCTTTGGTTCTCTTTTGTTATGCCTTGTTTACTCCCTTCAATCTAACCTGTTTTGTGGGCATTGATGAAAATATTTTCATGGTTTCCAAAATTCAGAGACTTTATTTTGGTTTGATGGTAGAAAAATGAATTTGAAGAATCTTATTGTGTTCAAGTGCGAGTAACAGATAGGACTGCAGTAGCCGTCCTTCTAATTAGTATTTTATAAATGAGTCATTCCTATAATCTAATTATAGTTTAAGGACCAACTTGGTTCCACAGTTATAACTAATGCTCTCTAAGGATGCATTTAGATCGGGGCAAGAAGCTAAAGTGAGTGGTGGAAAAAGATTTGTGAGATCCACTCTGCCATTTGGCTCTGAAAAATGAGGCAGTGGAATTATAGAGAAAGGTGCACTTTTAGGCACATTTCCAGTTGAGTCAATGGAAAATAGAATGACCTATGGGAACTGGTCCTTCTAATTGTCCACTGAGTTGAGGTTAATTGGATCTTTTTCCAGCAATTTTGATTGGTAAATCAGTAACAGGAGCACCATTAGAATCTGAAGAATCAACGCGAGTAGTGGGGTTAATTGAATCCATTTCCAGCAATTGATTGGTGTGGTGGTTTTGCCATGGCCTCCACTTCCTTTCTTAGAACATCTAGTGCAAAACTGCAACTCTTTGGAGGGAGATGCTACAGGAGATGCATCTTTGGAAGGGGATGCAACTGGATTTTATGATATCGACACTAAGAACCTTGTTCATTTTGTTGAAGAAGCTTTGCTTTCTTTTGCTGCAATATTTACTCCATAGAGATTATCCTTTACAGGTTGTGTTTTCTGCTGCCTTCTCTGTACTTTCTAGTTTCTACTCAGTAGATTGCTTATGCTTATTTCCACTTTTCATATGATTGCAGATTCATGTGGATGAGACAAAATGCAGTCTCCAATTTGCCAGTAGAGCATTACGCGTAACAAACTGTGCACGCGTTAATGAGGTTTGGTTCTTATTCAACTTATATCCTTGCTCTTTTCATTTGGATATTCCTGCTCTTTTTTCACCATTGAAGTCCTTGTCTGGATGCATGCATTTACTTGTCTTCATGACCTTTTTTTGCCAGATTCTCACTGATGCTGCTCTGTTAAAACGTCAAAAAAAGGAGATTGAGGAGCTTCGGGCAAAATTGCAGGTTACTCTCAGAGCTTTTCTAAATACTTGTCTCAATAAAATACTGTTTGAAGTATTTGATAGTAAATCTTTATGATTTTATTTTAGGGCTCTAATTCAGAACATTTTGAGGAGGAGATACTTAATCTGCGAAACACCTTATTGAAGGTCAGAATTTTTTTTTTGTTGCAACACTAAAGGTCCAATTTTTTTCCATGCTTTTGTGAAAGAATGCTACAAGAGTAGCTATTAAACATTACAACTCCTTCCTTTTGTAGAGTGAATTAGAGAGGGAGAGGATTACCTTGGAGTTGCAAGAGGAAAAGAAAGCTCAAGCCCAACGTGAGAGGACATTGCAAGAGCAAGCCAAGAAAATAGCGAATTTAAGCTCAATGGTGTTGTATTCAAATAGGGATGAGAAATTGAGTCACTACAAAAAGGTTCTACCATATTATAGGAAATAACACCCTTATTTTTTATATCATGTCATCTCTATATTTGATGATGTTGTTAAAACTACCATTCATTCTGCTCTAAGTTTAAGATGTCATTCCTCTATTTTATTGTGCTCTTTTCTGAGCCTTGCCATTTTGTCTCTAGTGATATTTTTTCCTTAAAGGTAACCATTTCACTGTAAAGAGGGAAATATGTAGATGGGAGGATGTCTATAGCTTTACAAACAGTGTGACTATGGCAGTTCTCAACAAAAATAACTAGGAAAGAAAAGAGCTGTCACCATAGAAAAAATCGCTTCCCATGCCCCTCTTACAGTGCTTTGGTGAGAATTCAGTTGGAGGGCAGGGGAAGTCAGATGTTAAAGGTTTTTGGGGGAATCCTGTGCCTCATAGAGTGGAAGCCTTTGCATGGTTGGTGTCATTAGACAGCGTCACTCAAGACCACATGGAGAGCAGGGGAATGCTGTTGGCAGGGGAGGTTTTATCTTTGTCTAGCTGAAGAGGGAATGTGATGCATTTGTTTTTTTGGCTGCCGCTTTTCAAAATATGTCTGGGGGTACTACTTTTGTCTCTTCCGTCTTGACATGTGGAATCCAAGATTGCCTAAAGAAATCTCTGATGGACTTGTTTTTTGGCTGCTGTTTTTCAAAATATATCTGGGGGTACTACTTTTGTCTCTTCAGTCTTGACATGTGGAATCCAAGGTTGCCAAAAGAAACCTTTGGTTAGCCTGCTTTAAGGGGAAATAGAAGAGCAAAGATTGTGTGGAGATGCATTCCTTTTGTTACTTGTTGAAAAATATGAAAAGAAAGAAAGAAAAGAATCTTTGAAAGCTAGGAAAAATGTAGGGATAAAGTTGTTTTCTTGAGCAGTGTTGACAGTTCAGCTAATGGGCTGAGACCTTTAGTGGGCCTAGTTCTTCTTTTATTCCTTTTAAGTTGTAGTCCATTTAGTTATAGCCACCCTATTAAGGGATGATTAGTCATTGTACTTTTCAGTTAAGTATAAATGCAAAGAGAGGAGGCGGTTAAAGGACTTTTTGCCTCTCCTCATTTCTCTTTAACTTCTCTTCTCTTTTTATCTTCTTCCTCTCCAAAGTTCATCGTTTTTTTTTCTGATTTTTACACCAATTTACTTGGTTTTTTCTTGATTTTCTACTTGGTATTAGAACTAGGTTAGGACCTTGACAAGTGTTCTCCATGCAATTTTGAGATAAGCTGATTATGGAGACCTAATGAGGCTGATTGGCCAGTTGTTTTCAGCCCAACCATTGGGGTTTTTTTTGGTAGTTTGTGTCCAAGAAGGTTTTTTGGAGAGAAGACCAAAAATAGGAGGGATTGGAGAAAGAAGGAAGAGTCCTATTGGATTAGGGATTCTCATTTGCATCCCATAAGTGGATTGGTCTCTTATTTTTGGTTTCTGTGAGTTAGCTAGAGTGGGTGATTGATTCAGAAGAAGTTTCTAGTGAGATCGACAACCCCCTTTCAAAATTTTTTCCATCCTAGAGGAACCTAGGTTGGACCAGTCCTTTATTTTATAGACTCCAGGTGATTTTTTTTTTTGTTTAGATAATTTATTTCATTGCCTAGAAGAGATTGATTGGGCAGTGGAGGATTTCTGGAGAGTTTTTTCTTTTTTGCTGGTTTTCTCTTTGGTAGGGTTCTTGGGCTCTTGGTGGGGTTTCCGAGTTGAAGTCTTTGGTGCTTAGTGCTAAATTGATCTGGTCTAGGAGACTTCCTAAACTTCATTTTGGGTGTTTTAGATTGCTTGAATTAATATGGATGCTAGTGGGATTGATCTTAAGTTAACGGTTGATCCCGGGATGGGTCTTGATGGTACTAGTGACCTTTAGAATGTTGGTTTTATTACTATAGTAAGATTGGATGGTACTTAGTGATGGTTCAGTTAGCACTGGTTAGGTACTAAGTCTGAAATAAGAATGTGGAGGATGGTTACTAATGTGCATGGCCCTAATACCTACAGAAAAAAAAGGAATGAAATGTGGGAGGAATTGTATGCAATTCAAGGATTATGGGATGGTCCTTGGTGGTTGGGAGGGGATTTTAATGTCACAAGATACTAAGAGGAATCTAGCAACTTTGTACAGTCAATTACAACGAGCATGGGGAAATCTCCAAGATAATCCTCTATGTTCAAAGTTGGATAGGTTTCTATTCAACCTAGATTGGGAGAATCATTGGGGAAATCTGGTTTCTAGAGCTCTACCTAGGGTCACTTCTGACCCTTGCCACTTTAAGATTGGTGTGGAATCTTGGACTAGTGGACCTAAACCGTTTATATTTGAAAATATGTGGCTAATTCATCCAAACTTTGGGGGTAAAGTGAAGGAATGGTCGAATGGGGAGTTAAGGAGGATAAAATGGATAGGAATTAGATTTCATTAGAAGTTGAAGAGACTGAGAGTCAAGCTGAAGGAGTTGAATAAAGATCACTTTGGTAGGAGTTGAATAAAGATCACACAAATTGAAAAGTTGGATGAGAAGGAATCCCAAGGGCTATCTAGTGAACATGATAGAGAATTAAGAAGGCAACTGAAAAAGGACTTAGAAGATGTCTTACTCAAAGAGGAAATTTGTTGGAGGCAGAAGTCAAGGCATAAGTGGATTAAGGAAGGTGATGGGAATACTAGATTCTTCCATTATCTGGTGAATGGAAGGAGGAAGAACCTAGTGGCTAAATTAGAGTTAGAAGGGTAGGTGATTACCAATCAAAATGAAATTGCTAGAATCTTTAATGGTGCAAATGGATTATGGGGTGGACTTTTGGTAAACTTCGGGTTTGGGTACAAATGGTGCAAATGGATTATGGGGTGTGCCCGGAATTGTCATTACTCTGTGCTGGTAAATGGGTTAGTGGTGGACTTTTTCCCAGCTTGAAGGGGAATAAGACAAGAAGATCCACTCTCTTAGTTCCTGTTTACGTTGATCACAGATGTTTTGGGGAGATTGATTCATAGAGCAGGTACAAGGAATCTAATAAGAGGATAAAGAGTAGGAAGGGAGGAGATACCCCTTACCTATTTACAGTTCATAAATGATACTATACTATTTTGTGAGGGTGGAAACTTGTGTTGGATTAGAAACTTGAAATTGGTGGTACAAGTGTTTGAATAGATGTCAAATTTGAAAGTGAACTTTGAGAAAAGTTGCATAGTGGGTGTGAATTTGGAAGAAGGGGAGGTTAGGGAATGCACAAAGATTTAGGGGTGTGTAGTGCCAAGTTGGCCTTTGAACTACAGAAGAAAAACAACCTTTTGAAATGAAAGGACTGTTACAAATATTGCAAAGAATTGATTGAGAATAGCAGAAATCAGGTTTCAAGAAGAGAGAAGAGGAAGAAGAAGGTGGTGGCCATAAGGGTTGAGAGAGAGATTTCGAACATAATCTCCTACACCCCTAGTTCTATTTCATTAACTTAAATTTTAGTAATTTACAGAGAGGCCCTTAGTTGGGTAGATAATTAAAACATAAGAGAAAAAAGGCCCAAGTTGAGGCCCATTTCAACAAAGAACATAAAGAGATAAAATAAGACAAACAGTCTATGGGCCATACGGCCCATCTTCTCTACACTCCCCCTCAAGCTGAGCATAGATGTTAATCATGCCAAGCTTGCCAGTATCATGCTGAAGTTTAGCATTGGGGATGCCCTTGGTGAGGAAATCAGCTAACTATCCTTCAGAAGTGATGAAAGGTAGACAAACTTCTCCAGAAGCCACTCTTTCTCGAATGAAGTGTCTGTCAACTTCAATATGTTTGGTTCTGTCACGTTGCACTGGATTGCGAGCAATGTTGATGCCAGCTTGATTATCATAGTATAACATCAATGGCTTATCATGCTCAATACCCAGTTCCTTCATCAAGGATTGAAGCCACAACAGTTTAGAAACTCCATGAGCCATGGCTCTGTATTCAGCTTCGACTGAAGATCTGGCTACAACTGATTGTTTCTTGCTTCTCCAAGAAACAATATTACCTGCCACCAAGCTACAGTACCTAGTGGTAGATCTGTCATCGATATTTCCGACCCAATCAGCATCTGTGTAGGCTTCAAGTTTCATATGACTATGCTTAGAAAATAGAATTCCCTTTCCAGGAGAACCCTTCAAATAACATAGAATTTGTTTTGCTGCTGCCATGTGAGTGTCCCTGGGAGCATGCATGAATTGACTAATGCAACTGACAGCATATGCAATGTCTAGCCGAGTCATGCATAGATAGAGTAGTTTCCCAAGTTGCCTCTAGAAGACTCCCTTATCTTTCAACAATACTTCATTTGAGGCAGAGAGTTTATGACTCATATCAATAGGAGTAGCAACTGGTCTAGCACCCATCTTCACTGTTTAAGAGAGCAAGTCAAGTACATACTTTCGTTGAGAGATAAGGATCCCATCCTTAGATCGAGCAACTTCTATGCCAAGAAAGTATCTCAATTCCCCCAGATCTTTGATCTCAAACTCTGTATGAAGGAAAGATTTAAGATAATTAATCCCTGATACAGCACTACCAGTCACAACAATATCATCAACATACACAATCAGATATACTGCCAAAGATCCTCTCCTCTTCACAAAGAGGGTATGATCGGATTGAGTCTGTACATAGCCAAAGTTAACAAGGGCAGCCCTAAACCTTTCAAACCATGCCCGAGGGGATTGTTTAAGTCCATAAAGAGATTTCTTCAGCTTGCAGACTTTCCCTTCCATATCTGTTTCATACATTCTTGGAGGAAGAGACATATAAACCTCATGTAACTCTCCATTCAGAAATGCATTCTTTACACCCAACTGGTAAAGTGGCCAGTTTGAGTGTGTGACCAGAATAGCAGAACTCTCACAGAAGTCATCTTTGCAACAAGAGCAAAGGTCTCCAAATAGTCAATCCCATATGTCTGTGTATAACCTTTTGCAACCAGCCTAGCCTTGTACCTTTCAATGGTGCCATCAGTATGATATTTGTTGGTAAAAA